TAAGAGGCTGTCGGATCCCCTGGGACTGGAATTACAGACCGTTGTTACCTGCCATGTAGGTTCTGGGATTCGAACCCGGGTCTTTTGCAAGAACAACCAGTGTTCTTAACCACTGAGCCATCTCTCCAGTCCCAGAGAACAGGATTTTTGACAATACAAACTAATCTGCCATATTTTTCTGGTATATCATAATTGCCCAGCTGCTACTGTCAAATATACTGAAAAATAATATATTTCTGCATATGCAAATCAGTTACAGGTTAACAAAGTCTTTGTTTTAAATGTCATTACTTGAGAAGGTAGGGAAGCGTCACATTCTGTTAATTACCCATGATAATTATTTCCTTAATCAAAATGAATCTACAATGCGTTCTTTAAATAGTTACCTATAAAAATATACATGTACTGACAGAAAATGAGCAATTAACTGGGAATCAAACTTTAAATTAAGAAAATGTGCCTTATTATTTTACTGTCTAAATTAACTGTCAGTATAATGACTTATCTGACTATAAGTGTTAAATTTCCTTACTTAGCTATTTCAATTTATAAAAACAATATTTTCATAAATGCACATATGTATATGTGTGTACTGTGATAAGCCTAACACATTCTCAACTCTCAGAAACTGTTCCCAAAAACGGACATCTTTAATGTTGCAAGAAAAGGACAAGGACTCTAAGTACAGTCATATCTGAGGGATCTCTGAGGAATTTGGATTCAGAACCCTCCTCATATACAAACCCCACAGATGCTCAAGTCCTAAAAGAGTGTTGCAATGCTGATACATAACCTATGCATTTGTTCCCATGTATGTGAAATCATTTCTACACATTCATAATGCCTACTATAATGTGAGTGCTATGTGACTACTTGTTATACTGTATTGTTTAGGGAAAATGACAAGAGGGAAAGATATACATGTTCAATATTATCATAATTTGAGGGGGGGAGACAGATTTCACATACCCCAAACTGGCCTTGAACACCTTGTCTCTACCTCCCAAGTGCTGGGATTACAAGCAGTGCCACCACGCCTGGCTCAGTTACAAAATTTTTTCATCAAATATTTTCAATTCATAATTGGTTTAATCCACTGGTGTAGAACCTCTAAATACCATATAAAGTATTTCATTATATTTCAAAACTCTTTTAGAATGTGACTGCTATCTAATTGTTCAAAGAAAAATTGTTTTCTGTCGGTAGTTAAAAACATTCAGTCTATTCTAAAGTCTATTGGTATAATCACATTCATCTATTATACTTAGCGGATAACTTTATTCTGGTCAATTCCACCAAACCTTTAACACCCAACTGGCAGTACTATGTCCATTTTTAAAATGCCTTCTCATATGGAAATAGTTAAGAAGGCATCCAAATCACAGTGCTCCAAAAGTACAAATACATGCCTTGAAGAAAGCACTGCTCATAAAGTGAAGAAGCTTAAATTTCTAGATGGCTGGTGGACATGCTTGACAACTGTGTGTGTGTGTGTGTGTGTGTGTGTGTGTGTGTGCACGCATGTGCATGTGTGTTACGCATGCATACATACTCTGATGGGGGTGCATGGGAGGGTGTACACATACATGTGCCTTCCTCTATCACTCTCTACCTTTTGGCAATTTCTTAAAAATCAAAATGTACCTATCCAATAACCCAGGATTGCATTCTTAAATATATGGCCAGGAGAAAAAACAAAATAAACAACAATGTTTATAATATAATGTAATAGCAGGATTGTTC